TTTTTTTTAAAGTCATAAACCGGATCATCAATCTCATGATTGTCCTGAAGAAAGTAAACCTCGTAGTATAATTAACTTTTTTCAATATGTTTTTGATTCTTTTGTAATATATTTTAGCTGATGGTGTTGATAGTTTCCGTAGTTCTGGTGATCAAAGAAAAAATAATCGAGCAAGTGAATCTGTATGTTAAAAATTGAAAGAGTTCATTAATTCATTTAGATTTCTGACGATATTTTCAATCAACGTAATTATACATAGATGAATGAGATAGAACAACAATGCTAACAGTTTGTTTTTTCGTTTAGCTGATGCTCATCCTTGTCCTCAACCAACTGAGCATTATGTTTCATCCGCTTCACCAACAACCGAAAATAATATATTTGACGAAACAGTTACCAAAGGTCAAAATTTTGAGAAATATCATCAAACTCAAGTTCGCTGCACACCACTAAGTAATAAAATAGTCTTCGTTCTTTATTTTCTACATTCAATTTAATATTTTATTTCCTTATCAGAGAAAGTCAAACCAATTGAATTATATAGAGAAGCTATTTATACAACACAAATTTTATCAAATATTCATCGTGTCCATTTTCAAGAATTAACAACTATTCAACGTTATGTTATACTTAGTATACGACAACAAAATGATCTCATTGTTTGTACTCAAAGTGGATCTGGTAAAACAGTAAGTTCAGTTTTATAAATATTGATTATTAATCAAATAGATTTTCTAGGCTGCTTTTCTTTTACCAATTATTTCAAATTGACTTGAATATCATGAGGATGAATTATTTGCGCGAGACGATCCGCCATCACCACTTTGTCTTATTGTTTCAGCTACACGTGACCGTGCTTTACAAACAGAATGTGAGGCAAGAAAATTTGCATTTCAAACTGCTATTATACCGTGTAAGTTAATGAAAAACGAATCATATGTTGGGTAACGCATGCATTTCTGAACGATTAAGAGCATGTCGAAGAAACATGACAGATATTGTTCTAATAATGTTTTTTATTAAAAGGCTCTGGTGTTGGTGGTCATGATATGTATGTTGTATTGGACCAGCTTCAAAAAGGTTGTCATATTCTATCAGCTACTATTGGTCATCTTAAAGATATGGTTGGAAAAGATCAAGTAAATATATTTTAATTTTCTATTCTTATTGAAAAATTGATATTTATTATAATTGAAGATTTCATTGAGAAAGGTTAAATATTTTGTTCTTGATGAAGCTGATCGGTATGAAACAGATGATTCCATTGAATATAATCCAGATTGTTTTTCGTTTTCTAAAGAATGTTAGATGCAGGCGTTGAACTTGATATCCGTAAATTAGAAGATCTTGGTTTACCACCAAAAGATAGCCGCTTTACATCAATATTTTCTACAACATTTTCTAATGAAATACAACAATTAGCTAAACATTATCTGCGTACCAATTATGTATGCCTTGATGTTAGTACGCTTGATGGTATCGATACAGATATTGCACAGACAATTGAGGAAGTGTCGTCTTCGAAAAAGAAAGATCGTCTTTTTCAATTAATTAAACAAATTTCTAGTAAGAAAATCGTTTAGAAAAATTGATTTGATTCATTCAAATGGTTTAGAATCTGAACGTTGTTTGATATTTGTTGACACGAAACGATTAGCTGATTATCTAGGTGCATTACTTTCACAAAAACGTTTCATGAGTACAACAGTGCATGGTGATCGAACGCAAAGACAACGACAGGAAGTTGTACAACGATTTACAAATGAAAAATATCCAATACTTGTTGCAACATCAGATGTTGTTCGTGGTCTAAATTTACCTCAAATTGATTATGTTATTAATTATGATTTTCCAGATACAAGTGACTTTGATACATGCCGTATTGGTATAGCAGGTAGAATTAATTAAAAAAACGTTATTGAGAAATTTCTGTAGGTCAAGCTGATTATCTGGGTAAATCAATATCATTTTTTGATCCTGATCGAGATTCCGATCGGAAAATTGTACCTGAACTCATATTAAAATTAAGCGAAGTATATTAATTTTTTCAAAAGTTAAAGATTAACTTTGTAGTCTTCATTTTTATTAGGCTGATCAATGGGTACCTGAATTTCTTAAAAAATATACTGATGGTAGCCAAGTTCAACTTTATAACGGTGATCATAGTTCACGAAATCGCTGTGTAAGGCTGGTTTTTATTCTAATCATTAAAGCCTTTATTTTTGTTGTAGATGCGTTCTGGAGACGATCATACTGCTGGTGCAGCTCACAAAGATTGGGATTAACAATAAGAATTTTTTTGTTTTTTAATATGAATAAAGTATACAAATTTTTTATTGGGATTTATATATTCCGAACATGTTGTTTCATTGAAAACGAATCAGATTCTTCCTAAACTCAACTTAACTTCGGAAAGAATAGCTCATTGAAGGGTGTGGTTGAACTGAAGACAAGCATCCATACCTACATATTGAGCTTTATAAACTGTTCAACATAGTGAATTGTCTTTTTGAAAAAGTATTATGAGTGATAATAGATGTATCGAAGTAATACAAACAATTTATCTGTAATTCAATTTTGTTCAATTCAAATTTTATGAAGTTTTCGCTCTTATAAAATGTCAAAATACTTCTAACAGACAAATCAACATTTGTATTTCGAAATTACATTTTAATTCAAGTACTTTTACTAATTTTACAGTACAAGTTTGGAAAAAAATGGAGAAGACGGTCTGTTGGATCAGTAGATACATCAACAAAATAAAGAAATTCGATTTTTGAACAGTTATTTCTAGCTTCTTCTGGATGTTGAACGATTATTGTTGATAATAATTCATAGTGAATGAGAAGTTCTACTAAACATGGAAGATGAGTTCGACAGAGAAATTGTTTAGCATAAATTCATATGTATATCATCCCAGATAAGTGTAGCTAAATGAGGAAATTGAATTAAATTTGTGATTATCATTGTTTTCTCTTGTTGTTCAAGTCGATTAAATACTTCAAGTGGTTTAAGATAAGGTAAAGCTCGAGCAACGAGTCTAAAAAAATTATATTCCAAAGGCTTGACATCATCAAAAAGTAATATTGTTGTAACATTTGAAAAAGTATTTTTATTTTCATCGACAAGTCGAAATCGATTTGAGATAAAATCAAGACGAGTACCAATAAATGGAAGTGAAAAAATTTGATATTGACCACATCTATTATTGAAATAATCAAGTACACAATCAACAGATTGTTGTTGATGAACAAAACTTTGACGAATTGTATCGATATCTATATGAGAAGTATATGCTACTATTGAACGAATATGAAAATGAAACTGACGTAAATGAGGCAATATAAGAAATAATATATCTTTGTAAATCATATCCATCAATAAAGTGATGTGGTAAAAATTTTTCTACACCAACAGCTAATAATAATATCAAATATTCGATAGTTGTCAAACGTCGTAAAAGAGAAACAAAAAA